CCACAAAATATTAACTTTTGACTACATGGCCTTCATGCCTTTATTTTTTTAGTTTACCTAAAGTGGGCAGTGGAAGAGGTAATGTACTCTGAAAGAGAGTGGAAGCATTTAAAGGTGTCTAAGAGATGATTCCATTGATTACTGGATAGTGAAATTCACTCCTCCATTGAAGCTACTTAACATCCTAACTATATTAATACACAGAGATGAAAATATATGGGAATTCTGAAAGAGCAAGGTTAATAGACTCCATAGCATCTGCTAAAACAGCAAAGGGCAAAGAAATCTTATGAGTAAGTATATAGGATCAAGGGCCAATATTATAAGCCAAAATACTCCAAATTTTATGTATCAGAGAGTTATAAATACAAGGACAAAATCTATTTAAATGAATATGGGTGAAACACAAGAGGCATCTTCGTTAATACAAAATGATATCATCTAAAATTTGACAAGGTAGTAAATTTAATACCTAATGAAGGAAAAGAGAAAAAGAGGAAAACTGGGGATGTGTTTTTACCTGGAATTTATCAGCGCTCAAATAAGTACACAGGGAATTGTTTTACAATCTCTTAAAATATTCTGAGTCATGCATTGTTGGTGGTGGTGTAGTGAGGGGAATATGACCCCAATATTTAGCTCAGTTGTGTGATATTGTGAAAGGTGATTAAAATCTGTGTCGAGATATGAGACGGAAAACATTTCAAAATGAGAATTTGGTAGTGATCTTTAAGAAAAGCAATACATTATTTCATTCGAAACCTAAATAATTACATTTGAACATGTTTCCCATGGAGAGAAGACCAGCACAGTCTTTTACTACCTGAAGAATATATTCAAACGATAAGCTATGCCTGTTATCAGCCATCCGACAAGCGTTTACGGAGTTCCTATTGTATTCCGGCCCTCGAGATACAGAGATAAATAAGCAATGTTCCTTCTTAAATCGTTTCTAATCTAGCATCTTCTGCAAAGCAACAGCAGTAGATGGCTTAAACTTATTTTGGGGGAAAAGAATAAAAAAGATACAGTGGCTTATTCTGAGAAAAGGTGTGATTCATCCGTGCAGCAAGAAGTAAAAATATCTCGAAATTCTCCAAATCCGGAGAACTGCATGTATTTCATACCGATGGCTGGGCGGTCCCCTCGCCTTTGTTCAGATCCCGGCTTGCACACTCATGGAAATCACGAGGTGAGACACACCCTTTGGGAATGGGAAGGACAGGATCCACACTGGCATACAGCATGCACGTGGTCTTTAAAGAGTATGAAGGATAATTTCATGACTCAAGGCGTGTGGAATTCAACCAAGGAAGATGCTGTAGCAGATGTAATGCTTGCTGACAGGAGGAAACTCGCTTAAAATGTGGAGATGATAGGAAACTTTGGGACAGGGGCCGTTAGCTGCACAGATCTGGCATAGTGACGTAAGGGTTCGCTGAGTACTTTTACAGGGAAAATTGGGAGAGTTGAATACAGAGAGAATTGCCATCCCGACAGCAGTTTAAAAAGGTATATATCTGTTTGTGGTAAGGCTTATTAAGTATAAATAACTCCTGAGAAAGGTAACTGTAAATGACCAAGAAGTGACACGTGCCTCCATGTGAAACTGATTACAATGAATACCTGTATGAAATACTTATAAAAAGAAGAAAATCATAGCAAAAGCGAAACTAAGCTGTATCTACTTCAAACATATGAGAGCCAAAAAGGAAGTCAAAGGCTGTCTAGGTGGATCTGGGTATTATTAAAAAATTGATGTGCAGAGAGGCTGGCCTGTCTGTCGGGGTCACGCTGCTGGGCGGCAAATCTAGGCTGCGACACCAGGTCTCACAGCGCACCCAGGGCCCTTATACTGTAGCCGCGGGAGCCCGTGGCTGCCTGTTTTGCTGCAGACAAGGTGCCTCCACTGGCAATGTGACTTAGGGGAACACATGAGAGATCTGTCCTGTACTTCTCCACATTCAAAACTAACTTTCCCTACTCCCCCAGCCCAGCACCAAACAGATTTAAGCGTTCTTACGACCACTTTGCTTAAGCGAATGGTTAAAGAGGCAAACCTACTGTTTTAACCACTTTATTCTGAGTTCTGTCATTAGAAAGTCAAATTAAATAAGAGCTTTCCGTTTCTAATACTTACTGTCTTCCAGAGTGCTTGCTTCGGAGAATATAAAATCCGACGGCTAAAAGAGATTGGCTTCCCACGTAGCTCAGGTCCTTCCACACCTTTCCTAGGAGTTGTCAACCCTGCACCCCCCGCCCTTCTCTCCCCCTGCCCTCAGCTCCCCAGGCTCCCAGCCTACACGTGCAACTTGCAAGACCAAACAGGGCACGAAAGCGCTGAGACCTTGGGGGGAAGAGCTTTTTCTTTTTAGTCTTACAATAGATAAGTGAATTTCCTGAATTATAAATTAAACCTCTGGAGATATAAATAGAACAGGGAAGAGCTGCTGAAAGAGATGACATTCTCTTCTCACTCAATAAGGACTTCATAGCTCACTGGGGGACGGCGAGCTCCTTGCGACACATTAATGCACATGCAGAGAAGCCTGTCGAAGGCTCCCTTCGCCTACAGTTTAAAAAAATACCACAAGGGAACCTCATGGATTCATTCGGAAGTTGCCAGGTTTAGACAGATAAATGCATAGAACAAAAGGCAAAGGGACACACAGGCCAAAGTCATACATATTCTATACCTGCACAATGTGCTTTTATATTCTGAACAGAAACATTTCATGAAGAGTTCTTAGTTGTATTTTTAATACTTTTAAAAATCTGGCACACAGTGCATTCTACAGATGATGTATCATAAACCTGTACACTCGAAACCTATATAGTTTTATTAAGCAGTGCCATCCTAATTAATTTTTTAAAATTTTAAAAACACACAAAAAATCTAGCTTTTATGACATTTGCCTGTCATTTAGACTTATCTTTCTTTGTCTAATAAAAGAAGGCTAAAAGAAAATATGTGTGGCAAATATCCTAGGTTCTGGGTGCTCCTCGGGGTTGACAAAACTAAGGAGATTGAAAAATGTCATTGGAACTAAGTGGAGTATCACCACCAAAACTGTCACCTCTCGGTAATCAATCATCTCTCACTCCGCTACGTAAATATATTTAAATTGCAAAATGCAGCTGCTCCCATCATTTCCATGGCAGCTGTCTTTGTCATATTACAATTTACACATTAGGAATAGTACCCTAGTAATCTGGAAGAGTTACTGCAATTGCAAGACTCATGCCTTACAGATTTTACCGCCCATGTGTTAGGGGGTGTTGATTTATTTTTCACTATGTTCCCTCTGTCTCTGCTTCCTCAGGCAATATATTCTCGTACTCAGCCATTTTTCTCTTTCTCTTTGAAATTTATATTAAACCAATCAGTATTTTAAAATGTCATTTCTTTTTGTGTGCATAAAAAATTATAAGGTCCACATGAGTGAATCATTAAAAACTTATCTTACAGTGTACATGATTTTGGTGATAACCTGATTCATTCAAACTCTACTGAAAATGAACTTAACATCTCCCACGCTCAATTTTATTTCTCAAAACTGACATTTAGTAAAGGAAATAGATTGTCTGACTATATAAATAAAAGACTAAAGGTTTAGCCAACTTTCAGGTCGAAAAATCAGTGTGAGGAGGAGCCTTTGAGGATACATTAGGTATTTTAACCACGCTGATAATTTATCAAGTACATTTTATGGTCCATGGCTGGTCTAACTGTCTGGTTGACCCTTCACTGTTTAATGAGCATCTCTCTAATATTACATCCTTAATAAAAAAAAATTTTAAAAAAACAAGTCATTTGGTCATAAGCTGAGAAGCAGCTGCTCTTCTTGGTATAATCCCTCATTCTACATAAGTACAGTTAATGTTTTGTTGTTACTGTTAAATTTTATTCTGAGTGCTCTGTATGTATAAACACAGTTAAAGGGTGGCCTTCCCTTTTTCCATTCCCATCCTCTATCATTAGTGGCTTCCTTCAGGGACCAAATGTCAATAGTTAGGGGTTATGTATTAGTGAGCCTTTGAAGTACCAGATCATTCATTAAGCTGATTATGATGCTATCTATGTCTTTGTTTAAATGTACATTGTGGCATGGCCAGAAAAATATTAAAGCTTGTTCTTTTGTTACTCCAACCTATCAATTAATGGCTTTTTAGTAATAGCACAGCCTAGTAATTATGAGTAAAGTCCTTGGGATCAAAACCAGCCTTAAATTCTGAACCTGCTATTTGCTAAGTAGGTGACCTTGACCAATTGCCTCATCTGTCACATGGGGATAATGATAGTGCCTTCTTCATAGCACACATCAAATGTCAGAAATCAAGGGAAGATAGGTACATAAGGCATTGAGCCTATTGCCTATCATTGTAATAGCCATTATTTACTATCATTATTATTATTGTTGGTATCATAATTTACATTATTATTCAAATATCAGTTCTCTGATTTACATATACATTTTATCACACATTTAAAACTACCATATGTCTCAGTTTTATTCACAAGCTCATAATTTAGCACATTGTTTAGTGCCTTATTGAAATTCAAATATATTCCTATAAGTAATACAGTACCCACATACACACCCAAGAATGTACAGAAACATGTATGAATTTTTCCTACCAGATCCATATATCTATTGTTTTAGCAACTTTATTCTGAGTTCTACAATTAGAAAGTCAAACTAAATAAGAGCTTCACATTTCTATTACTTACTCTGTCTTCCCATGTGTCTTATTTCAGAGAATATAAAATCTAATAGCTAACAGAAATTTGTCATTTAGACAAAGTATTTATATACCATTCTTGTGGAATTGTCAAGTTTACCCCCACACTGCTAGCTCCCCACGATTACCAATTCAATGACTAATTTTTCACAAATGAGTTTGTGAGAATGCTGCCCAGGCTCAGCGTTGATTCCACAGGAAATTAAAATTTTTGTTCATATGAAACTAATGCAAGTTTCTAGAACAGAGGTACATACCTGCATTCAAAAAAGGTAAGTTGTCTTTTCCGCTCACACTGTCTGGGGCTGAACATTCACATACCAGTGCACACTAGGAAAGAACAAAAGAAAAAAAGAAAAGAAAACATGTTGGAAAGTAATAAAATAAGAAAATTATTTTGTTTGCAGAATATGAGGCTGTGCACATGGTTTCAAAAAATTCTGAACAAGACATTTTTGTAAAACTACTTTCAGCTTTATCTTTACCATGAAGCTTGCTTAACTTGTGATTATCTACATATAATATGATTTTGTTATATAATCATAGAGTACATTTCGGTTTTAGTTAACGACAACTTAGGAAAGAAAGTAAAAAATGGGAAAGATTGTCCCCAAATGTTCCTACTACAGCCAATCATATTTGACAAGCTGAAGGATTTTGTCTTTCTGACAGCTGGGATGATTTCAAATTACTAAAAAGCAAATGATTTTCTATATTTCAAGTAAAGCCAACTTTAAATAAAAACAAAATATGTTGTGGCATCGAATTACAAAGGAAAAAGGAGAGGTCTGTCTCCAGCAAAACGATGCAAACACTTGCTCATACAGGATGAAGACAATTTACAAGTAAGCTGACCCAGAGGTGATAAGGTCATGACCCCTGCAGAGCAATGCTTCTCTGGACACAAGAGAGGAGACATCCAGAGGAGTGCATGGCCATGTTTCTGGTGAGTAAACCTCCAGTGGGAGACACTATCCCAGACAATCTATTAGTGAGCATGGGACTCTCCTTTGGCTTCCCATGAAGCTGTAACTAATAGAGGAAGCAAAACTCTTCTGGCCCCGGAAGGTTGACAAGAGATCTATTTTCACACAAACATCCGTGTTTGTTTCTTGAAATGAGTTTCCTTCTATCTCTAGCCAAAAAAAAAAAAAAGGCCATGGGAAGGAAAAGAATGGATTTTCAGAGGAAATATGTCAAACATGAACAAATAAATGCAGATAAAAAGAAAATAAACAGAAAGCCCACAAGTTCTTCTGGTGTTAAGTTCTATGGGAAACAGCCACCCTTCTGGGCCCGGCAGCTTTGCTCAGGAGGCTCCATGGGCCCGGACCGCCCTCCCCAGGAGAGGGCAGCAGAATTGCTTGAGCTGGCTCCTGTTCCCCAACCATCCTGTCTCCTGCCACTCCTCCTTCCAGGCACTGGTCCCCTTTGTGAATCATGGTCACTGAGATGGCTGTTAATGATGGATTATGTATACACGTGTCCCTCAAGCATTTCGAGATGTTAATTTGATCCTTAATTTAAATGTTATTTTCTGTATTCATATAGCCCACTACTTATTCTTCTATCATAACATTCATCACACTGCTCAGAAAATTCTTTGATGGGAAAAAATGTGTTTTCATTTTTTTTTTTAAATTTATATATTTTTAATCCTCACCTGAGGACACACTTTGTTTGTATTAATTGATTTGCGAGAGAGAGAGAGGAAAGGAGAAAGAGAGAGAAACGTCGATGTGAGAGACAAACGATAATTGGTTGCCTCGAGTATGCACCCCAACGGGGGATCAAACCCACAACCTGGGCATGAGCCCTGACCTGGAATCAAACCTGCCACCTTTTGGTTGCAGGTTTGATTCCCGGTCAGGGAATGAGGCTCCAATCAACTGAGCCACACCAGCCAGGGCATGCTTTCATAATTTCTTTAGTGTTTATATTGAGGTCCCAGTTTATCCAAAGAATGAATAACTGCAGTCAGCTCTTAACATTTTATGTTCTCTAAATCTTTTTCCTGACCAACTGGAATTCAGAGGGGACCCCTTCTTTCAATCCACAGCAATGTGCATTCCTAAACCACTAGAGCAATGTGCAGCGATGCTCGAGCATCCTCAGAATTCTTCATTTCTTCTATTTCCAATATTTCCTCCACTCCTTTCAGCCTATATTTGGGCTGTTAAAATAATCTTTCATAAACACTGGATTCAGCATATCAATGTTCTGTTCTGGAACGTACAATGGTTACTTACTGCCCAAGCAAATTCTCATTCTCAGACTGCATACCCTTTCCCGATAATAACTGACATCCTTCCACATAATAACTAGGTGTATAACTATAGGCCATTTTCCTTTCCAAAAGAAGATCATCTACAATGTAGCTTAAAGGAGCAGCTTAGATTAAACCCTTTTTGTGAAGAAGCCCCTTATTCACAGGGATCAGGCCATAATCCTGGGAGAAGGCTTCCTTACATGGAGGCAACCCTGCCTCTGTGTAATCAAAGACAGCTGTCTGTTTCCTAACCAAGGCCTGCAGTATTTAACAAACAGATGCAGAACTATGACTTTCATACATCCATAATCCCCATCCACACTGGAAGGCAGATGCTTAGGACAGTTTTAACCTAACAGCATTCTAATTTTGCAACTTTTGTATTGTAACTTGAAAGCTCTACTCTTCAAAATGATCTCAAGATTTAAATCTATGAAACACAAACAGAAAATATCCAGTAAATATTTACTAAATGAATTGGTATTTTCATATTTGGACTTGGTAATTATTTTCTTCAATTGTTCCCTGAGTGTCTCCTGTCTCTATTTAGGTTGACTGTTTTTTGAAACCTAACCATACTTCTTATTTTATTAACCCGTTTTTTTATTTTATTTTATTTTACTTTTTTTTAATATTTATTTTATTTATTTCATTTTATTACATTTGACCCTAGAATCATTTTTACACAGTGCTAGATGTCACAGAGAATGCAAGGATTAAAGAAGAAAATGTGGAATCTGTGCTTAAGGAGGCTTAAGCTCTATATACTGTTGATTGCTATCACGATGGTGGATATTTGCAGCTACACTTATATGGTGTGTGCTCTCAGTGTAATGACTTCACATTTGTGGCTCTGAGCAGCAATAACAAACATTGCACGCTTTCTGTACCACACACAGCACCATATGCCTACTGATGTTGATTAATACTGTAAAAAGTGTCATTTAATGGTGACTGTGGCCAAGGAGAAGAAACAAGATATGTAAAATCTTTGAAGCTTAATGATTTTAAATATCAACTAACATATCAATTGGCCATGCACTGGGCTAGAAAATTAGCCAAACTGTAAGAACAATGATCACAAAGCTCTGTAGGAATCCATCCAAGACCAATACTTCTTGGCAAAGCACTTTCATATCCGTTAGTTTATTCCTTAAATCATGGTTCTTTGCCTTCAGTCTAGAATCTCCTGGAAGTCCCTGATAATGTTTGTCTTTGCACCCTCTGTAGCATCTAGCAAGGGTGAAGATGAAATTATTTTCATAGTAATACTAAAACATTATTTGTCTGTTTGCCTCTCTTTCTCTTACAAGCATAGAATGAAATTTTCTAGAAGCTATAGGACATAATCATTGGACAGCCAATGGTACATGTGCTTGTGTACTCTTCTAGTTTAAATATCTCTTGTTGGAATTTCTAATATGATAAATGTCTATAGATATAATCCAAATAAGTAAAGCCTTTAGTACAGCAAATATCAATAGGTAAAATCTACATAAATATAAATTTTATCTACATAAATATAAAAGTATAAAATATGAGAATTTCTATGCTTTTGTAACCTCATTCAGCCTCACGTTTAAATACCATCCGAATGCCATCTGGTGATTCACACATATGTGATTCTAGCTTGGGTACCTCACCTGAATGCCAGACTCAAACCTCCAACTGCTCACGTGCTTCTAAACTTTGAAGTCTAAGGAATTTCAAACGTCACATCTCAAAATATCCTGTCCTCCCCAACCTGCTTCTCTCAGTTTTCTCCATCACAACAAATACTAATTTTAGTCTTTGCCTGTCCTTTGCACCTGGAGCCTGGCCAGGTTCTACTTTCTCCATCGATCCTGCCTTCATCCGACTCATCATCATTTCTACCCTGACCCTCTGCAGTCACGGAGCTGCATTCTCCTGTCCTTGCCTCTTTTCAGGCCATTATCAGCACAGCAGTCTGATGAATTAAACATGAATCACGTCATTTCATATCTCAAAAGCCCTCACATGTCTTTCCATGACCCTCAGAGCTAATGGTGTACACGGGACTGCCCAGGCCGCCTTCCCTGCCCCGCCCTCCCACTCCCCTCCTTGACCCCTCAGTTCCAGTGCCATTGGCCTCCTTGCTGCTCCTTCAACACAACAGGTGTGCAGCCACGTCACGGCCTTTGCTCTTGCTAGTCACGCTGCCCAGAATTCTTCTTCCTCTCAGATATCCACATGTTTTGCTCCCTTTTACATTTCAGCTCAAATGTCACAATACCAGTGAATCTTCCCTTGACCGTCAAGTATAAAATAGTCATAGCCCAGCACTCCCTTGTCCTTGAACCCTGTCTTAATATTTCCTATAGCATATAGCACCAGCTGACCAACAATACTTTTTGTAATTGTTTACTTCCCTGGAAGGCAGCATCTGTGTCTATTTTGTTCATTGCTAAATGCCCAGAGTCTAGCAGAATGCCTGAAACATAGAAGGCAGTGCTGTTTGATGAATGAACAATATTATATGCCTGCAAATTATCCTACAAGGTAAGTAAGGCCAGTTATGTTATTCTCAACTTTATATTTTGGGGAAAACAAATAGATGAAACCTTCTGAGACTGGTCCTTAGCTACCCAAGGACTCCACTTTTTCCCTGACCACGGCTGATAAAAGTCCACTTAAAACACCACTTCAAAATATGGGGGCAACATAACCTGAGAAAGGCGGTTGATCAGCAAAATACTACTTAGGTTAGGTTCATAGTCAAAAGGAGATGTATTCTGACTCCACTAATACCATCTTTGCCACTGTCATAAATAAGTAAGGCACTTTCCTTCCTTTTGTAGAAGTTACCACCACTTTGATCTGTGCCACATTCAGGTATAATCTAGACATTAAATAACAGGGGAGACAGGGCAGGAGCTGAGCTGAACTCAGATCCCACAGAGCCCCACTGGAGGATGCTGTCCGACACCCTCCCCCCCGACGAGACGCACGAGCATCCCTGCGGGAAAGGCTCGGCCTGCGGCTGTCTCACTTGGCCCGTGGCTGTGACTCACAGGGGTTTTCTCATCTATCACCTGATATGATGATTGTACTTCTTGGTTCTCCTTCCCTAGCAGCATTCGTTTTTTTCTGGACTACTTACTTCAAGGTTGTTTCTAAAAACTGTCTTCTTTTTTCCTTCACAATCCTACATTCTTCACTACACCCTTACTCTGGTCTTTATTTATTGATTGGTTTGTACAGCATTAGATGCAAAGAAATACTTTCCCTTCTAGGATACATTTTGGATTTTATGTCTTCATTGTAAGTTGATTTCATTTATGCATTCACTTGTTTTCCCTGTGTCTGGCTCTGCTCTAGACACAAGGGATAATGGAGAAAACAAAATAGACAAGCGTCTTTCCCTCATGAAGTTTCATTCTAGTGAGGGAGAGGGACAATAGATGTGATGAATAAATAAAATCGATAGGCTGCTGGACAGTGATAAGTGCTAAGGACAGAAATGATGCAGAGACGGGGAAAGGAAGTTTTGGGGAGGCATTGTAATTTTAGATACGTGGCAGAGAAGGCTTCAGGGAGAAGGTGACAGTTTCATAAAGACCAGAAGTAAGTGAGGGAGGGAGTGATCACACAGTTTCCTGGAGTAAAGGCTTCAAAGGTAGATTGGAGAGTTAAGTGCAAGGACCTGAGCCAGAAATGTACCTGAAACGTTCAACAACCAGCAAACAAGACAACGGGGCTGGGCTGAAGTGAGCAGAAAAGAGGAATAGAAGATGGAGCAAAGGAAGCGAGGGGGCGACAGTACTTGTAAGGCTTTGCCAGGTCACCGGAAGGCTTTGGGTTTATACTTTCTGGGAGTTAAGGAGACACTGGAGGAATGACATGCTCTGTTACATTTTAGTAAGTGCTCTGCTGAGAACAGACTATGGGGGGCAGTGTTGAGAAGAGGAAGGGAATCAGGGGGACCTAAGAGACTACTGTAAAAATGTAGGTGACAGTCAATGATGGTAACAGTGAAAGGGTCAGGAGTCCTTGGATTCTGGATTCATTTAGAAGTCAGAATCAACAGGATTTGCTGACATATTGACTGTGAATATGAGAGAAAGAAAGGAGTCAGAAATAACTCCAATTTTTTTTTTAACTTTGGACACCTAACGCATTATTTCACATAATATATTGACTTTGTAAAAGGGCAATGTTAGTGTTTCTTGGTAAAATTTCTTTCTACTGGTATGTGATATTAACAGTCTTCTATTTCTGTGTCTGCATATATCAAATAAAAGTTTGAACCAGTATAATATGGTGAATGACCCTCTGCTCTGTCTTCCCTGAATGAGAAATATACAGGGTGGGGCAAACGCAGGTTTACAGTTGTGAGTACATGAAACACAGAATTTATTCTTGCATTATTATTTATTAATTATTGTATTACTTTCCATGCAAACAACTGTAAACTTACTTTTTCCCCCACCCTGTAAAATAATAATATGATTTGAGGAAACAAGTATATAAATGTATGTGAGAAGAGAAAGTTTGGATTTTTTTAGATTTTATTCCATGCTCCTAAGGCTATGTAAGATTCGAAAGTAAAATGCAGTGTTCTGTATCAGAGATGTTCTGTATCAGAGATGAACTGAACTGTGTTCCTTAAAATTCATAGGTTGAAACCCAAACACCCAATGTGACTGTATTTGGAGAAAGGACCTTTATGGAGGTAATTAGGGTTAAATGAGGTCATAAGGATGGGGCCCGAATCTGACAGGTCTGGTGTCCTACACGAAAAGACACCAGAGAGCTCTATCTCTCCATCTCTCTCTCTCTCTCTCTCTTTCTCTCTCTCCAAATCTCTCTTACTCTCTGTGCACATATACTGAGGAAAAGCCACGTGAGGGCCCAGCAAGAAGCCTGCAAGCCAGGAAGAGGGCTACTGCTAAGAACCGAATCATTCTGATCTGGGACTTCTTAATTCTCCAGAACTGTGAGAAAATAAATTTCTGTTGTTTAAGCCGCTCAGTCTATGATATTTTATTATGTCACATGAGTTGATTAATACAAGTATTAATCTTCCATCTGCTTCAATATACACGAGAGATGACGTGTCATTTCCCCACATGACTATGGGTCTAAATGTAGTTCCACTTCTTTCTCCCTCATTGATGCAAACCAGTGAAAGGAATGTTATTTTAGGGATTTCCTTTCTTTCAATGACTTTGTCTTTTCATATGTTTGCCATTCACTAACTTCAGGACTTAAATCTCCATTAGTAACAAGCTGTGTTAACACCACTGGTTTTGATTTAGTGACTCTGCAAAAGGGTCTCTGTGTTAGCATTTCTAACACCCAAGATGATCCTGACCATGCCTTGAAAACACTGAGATAAAGTTATTTCCACATAATTCTTCAAATGCCATGCAGAGGCGACTTACTCTGTGTTCTCCATTCAATCACAAATATTCCCAGGGGCTGCCAACAGAGTTTATAGCAACTTTATAAAAAAAAAAAAAAAAAAATTGCAAAAGATCAAGGTTTATTAAAAATCCAGACAGGATGAAGGTAAGGCCAACAAAGCTCGGGGTGTTTATCATTTTTGTCACCTGTGACTCGTACAGTTTGTGCTGACACTGCCACCTCCTATTTCTAGAACAGCTCAGTTAAGTCTCTTTTAAGTTCACATGACTAAATCCAAAAAATAAAGTAGGACTTGGGAGGGGCATACTCCTGCGTGTCAAGTTCCTCAGTTATGAGGAGAGCATGATTCAATTTGCTCGACCTCACAACAGCAACACAGTCAAGGAGTCAAGGGGTGGATGAGTTTTGAGGATGAGAGGCAGCTAGTAATAGATTCAGAGGCAGGAAAAGTGGCCCAACTTTGAAATGGGACATGTGTCTTCTCTTGGTCTGGCTCATGGCCACAGGTCCAGGCACCATTATCTGCCTATTTCTGCTCTCAGTCCCCACTTACCCTCTGAATCCTCCCTCCTTAACTTTGATACAAGCGTCCACGTGGTGGTGACTAAGATGGGTCTTATATAGAACTCCAAAGGACACAAGGACCGAATAAAGGGGCCTAGTCCCCAAACGGGTCTTGTGTACACAAACCCATAGAGGATCTGCTACGAAACTTCACCAGGACCCTGACATTTGGAAGCCACCTGATTCAAACTCCAAGCCTCCTTGGAATATTTTCGTGATCTGGGATATGCTCCAAGGAAGAGCAGGGGAACAGAGAGGAACAAGGCTTAGCTTATCCTGGGGCATGAATAATACATTTTTGAAAAGCAGCCTTATGTTTCGTCAAGTTAATGATTTGTTAAGTGTTACATAAACACCGTCTCCCATGTGGATGTTTCCTTACCACCAAAATTCAAATGTTCCCAGAGAAGAGACACTAAGCTAGAAATTAAGTCAGAATGAGCCTTGTCATTAAAAAATGCTCATTTATGAAAAGTTAGGAATTATAGTGTATACACAAACTCATTTTCCTAAAAAGAACTATTAGCAGATTTTAAGTCTGTCCCCTGCGCCTCAGTAAAATAGGCAATTGCATTCCTAAGACAGGAATTTAGGCTAATACTTGATATCAAGCTTCTCTCTCTTGGAGAAAAGGTAGAAAGAAAGTAAAACTCCTGGCCATATCTTGATAGGCATGGGGGCCTCTATCCTGGGCTCCCACACTTCACCTCCCGCTGGTATGGCTCCTCCAGAGCCATCCCTCCCGATGCTAGTTCCCGCTTCTCTCTCTGCAGCTTCCTAAGGCGCAGTGTTATTAAACCTGCCGCCTTCACATAAAAATGAAATCGAAGTTCAAGCTGCATCTTTTCCCAAAGAGGGTCTTGAGAGTAGGGAAGTGGTTACTTTTGGCAGTAGTCCTCCAGGAATTTTCTGGGCATGTCATGAAGGGTTAATGAGGGCAGAATGCAAGAGAGAGCAACACTTTTGTTCCAGTGGAGGAGAGGGAGCCTGGACACAGGGGCCAGTGGAGGAGAGGGAGCCTGGACACGGGGGCCAGTGGAGGAGAGGGAGCCTGGACACGGGGCCAGCGGAGGAGAGGGAGCCTGGACACGGGGCCAGCGGAGGAGAGGGAGCCTGGACACGGGGCCAGCGGAGGAGAGGGAGCCTGGACACGGGGGCCAGCGGAGGAGAGGGAGCCTGGACACGGGGCCAGCAGAGGAGAGGGAGGTGTGGTTGGCGCCAGGCTTTGCACAGCTCCACGCAAACAGCCCCCCATTCAGAGGAGGGACTGCACCCCTGGTACTCCAACTCCAGAGCTGATTTCTCATTTAGCTCTTGAATAATGAGATTTCATACCCCACAGAGGTGTTGGTGATTCAGACATCTGGCAAAGATGATCATTTCTAAGTTAATTTGTGCAACGAGCTGGCTGAGACCCTACCTTTTGTCCCTGCACATCTGTCGTGATGTGGTCGGTGTCCCCATCCTCGATCTCCCCCATCTTCACAACGCTGACTTCTATGGTGCCAACAACTTTGCCACCATCTGAAGTTCTGCAACCAAAAATAAATGACACAAAAATGTAAGAATTTTCTCTCTCCTTCAATTACAGTAGTCCCCCCCTTATCCACGGTTTCACTTTCTGTGGTTTCAGTTACCCGTTATCAACTGTGGTCCAGAAATATAAAATTAAAAATCCCAGAAATAAACAGTTCATAAGTTTTAAAAATGCACGCTGTTCTGAGTAGCAAGATGGTCTCGCAGAGCCCTCCTCCATCCTGCCCGGGGCATGAATTATCCCTTTGTCCAGCATCTCCATGTGGTGTATACAATACAGTAAGTTATTTTGAAAGAGAAAAACCACATTCATGTAACTTTTACTACAATATATTGTTATAATTGTTCTGTTTTATTTTAAGTGTTGTTCATCTCTTACTGTGCCTAATTTACAAATTAAACTTTATCATAACTGTGTATGTACAGGAAAAAACAGAGTACCTTATAGACAGGGCAGAGTACCGTCCGCAGTGTCAGGCATCCACTGGGGGCCTTAAAATGTATCCCCCATGGATAAGGGAGGGCTATGTCCAAACATGTCTGTTTCTGAAAACCACTAACACCGCTATTTACTTCATTGGTTTTAATTAAACAAATCTGCTTTAAACACGTCAAAGCATGTTAATGCTGGTGTTGTTTTTAATTTCAAAAGAAAATGAACCATGTAAGTGCATGTACTGTCAAAAATGACGTCATGAAGGTGAAGCGCCTCCAGGCTGCAGGGGTGGCCTCGAGTATCATGGGTCGGGGCCCTCTTTGGCAGCCTCCACATCTCTGCAACATCATGAACCATAGCCCCTCTAAACCAATTACATGGGATATTGTGTACATCTATTACAGAAAATGTGGCTGAATAAAATAGAAGAGACAATAAACATCCTTATGTTCCTCTATGACCAGGCCATTGGCTGCAAAACTTGATTTTGTATCTTTTCTCTAATATCATTTATCTTTCTAAGAGACCAGGTAAAGAAGATTCGTAGCAAATATAAGAAAGTTAAGTACATGCAGAACAGAAATTAATCATAGAGGTCATTTAGTACAATCTATTACTTTTTCAGATAAAAACACAACAACAACTGAGACCCAAAATGATGGAAAGACTTGCCCAAGGTAACAAAGTGGCAAAACTGAAAACCCAGGTTTCTATCTTTTTCAAGTCTGTTGGTCACTGAACAACTCTTCTCTATTTAAAGATGATAACTTTATTATTAAGGTTTTCATCATCATTATTGTCTTCAACATACACATTTTATGCTTGACAATAATGAAGGCTAAGAATAAAATGAAAAAACACCATCTTTTAAGATTCTCTAATTTCTTTCTCTGGACAAAAAAATATACAGAATAACAGAATAAATGATACCATCAAACCACGGAAATACGGTCACACGTAATGGATATTTCTCCCTTTAACCTTTTTTGAAAATAGGTAGCAAGTCACCCTGTAATTAGAACATGTTGCTATAACTTCTGTCTAAGACTAATTGACAAACAGCAGTGAGACGGACGACACTCGGTTTTCTTTATTTAGTCATGTTCTTTTCTGAAATTTGTTTTTAACTTTAATCTGAATATCAACACTGTCATTCTTTCAACCAACTCCTTCTAAATGCCACTGCTTTATTGTTAGAGGTGTCAGAAGAGAGGAATGGGAAAATTAGTATAAGTGGTTTACCAAAATGCTAATTAAAATAATGACTAAGTTAAGTAACAATTATGTTACTACATCCTGAATTAGGCTTTTGAGAAAACTGAAATAGAAAATTCTGGTGAATATACATAGCTAATGTTCCATAATAAATATTATGTACATAAAAAGTTATTTACTTGTTAAATAGCATGTTAAGATTTCTTACTAAAGTATAAAATGCTTCTTGGCAATTTTTAAATCAGTGTAAGTCATAACATTGATGCAATTACTTGAAATTAACATAGAAAACTTAATCATTCATCATAAAGAAGATGTGTGCATGGATGACAGTATAATCTGTGATTTCATGAAAAAAGATATTAGCTTCAATTCTGGGTGGTTATAAATAATTCATTAGGCCACTTCCCAGTTGAAAATGACATAATAACTTGTCATAAGTTATGATGTGACATAGCTCTGTACAATTTTTCAGTACCTGCTAGTTCAATAGTCTATTAATAAGAATCCTCATTGGTACCCATAATTTTTTTCCTAAAAGATTTGCAGACGTGTTTCTCTAACTTGATCATTCTTAACAATTAAACATACCTGATTCTTCTCATAAGAACTGTTTAAAAATTTGAGCAAACTGAGGTAGCTTAATACAAAACCTATATGTAACATTCTAAATGTTTTCCTTGCACTAACCAAGTAATACACATAATGATTTGAAACACAAGGTAGACTTTCCACAGCCTACCCCAGGACTGGGTAATAAACTGGTTAAAAGTGTAAACGGAGGAATCTGAGTTATCTGCTAGCTGCACGACCATGGACAAGGAACTTTGCTATATGAAACTTCCTTTGTAGAATGGAGATGGTGATAACTTCGCTGTAAGGATTCCATTAAGTGACATGGTTTGTGTAAAGTGCTCAGCACAAGGCCCTTATATAAGGTAAGTGCCCCTTCCTTGTCCCCCACCTCTCCATCCTAGCTGTAGAAGTCGCAGCAGCCACAGAATTATTATTGTCATTAATGCATTATATATTTAATTTGATTCTCTCCAGAAATACTTTACTAAAATAGGCATCAAAGATTATAGGAAAAGATTATAGCATCTTGTGCCATGTGTATTTCAACAGTGATTAAGTACTCACTAGGGATAGAAAGCCTTAGTAATAAAAGATGATGTTCTGAAGCTTACATTCCTAATAGTGCAGAGAGCACAGGCTTATAAATGATTACAATGACAGCAAGCATTTCAAAGAGCCTAAGCAGATGACTGAGCAATGCATTGTGGGAGTAAGCTTCTGAATCATAGTTCTATCTGTCCCCCTTTAAAAAAGTATGGGGTGATTTTTTTTCAATAATTTTTATGTCTTTGGTTTTCTTTTTATCTCCTAAGGATTCCAGTTATTCCCAGAGCTAACTCAAAGCAAGGAGCTTGGTTAATCTAGTGATACTAGAGGGATTCTAGAATCAATATTTCCCCCAAAACCATTTTGGATAGAACACTCTAAGTACCCTAAAGCGTGCCTTTTCATCTGAGATTTGTGGGAGACAGAGTGGGGAATTCAGGTTATAAACTATAGAACAAAAGCCAAGGTACCCAAAGCATGGTTCACCTCGCCAGTGATCTGGTATTTAAATGCACAGCAGTTTCTTATCCATTTGGTACCCATTTACCACACCCAGAGTATGGATAGTCAATGCTCTCTCCAAGCAGGAGAGTCATGATTGAAATATCTATTCCCTGTCTCCAAAGGCTGTCTCAAAGATCATTTTGTAGAAATTTAGAAAAAAATACTTTCTTAAACTCTTAATTATGCTTTCACCCCATCAGACTTGGGAGGCTAGTAAGGACTGCTTAGCCATTATTCATCACAGAAATTCTACTGAATTTTATGTAATGGAAATTCATCATATCTATAGGAAAGAAATATGAAGAGAGTTCTGGACGTGGAGTCAAGAAACCCAAGCAGTATTGCCAGCTCAGCTGCCAGCTAGCTATGTGGTGAAGGACATGTCACTTCAATTCTCTGGATTTTTTTTTTTTTTTTGGATTTTTTAAAAAAATATATCTTTATTGATTTCGGAGAGGGAGAGAGAGGCAGAAACATCAATGATGAGAGTCATTGATCGAGCCCGCAACCCAGGCATGTGCCCTGACCGGGAACAGAATCCCGATCGCCTGGATCCTAGGTCAACGCTCAACTGCTGAGCCACACCCGGCCGGGCAATTCTCTGGATTTTAATCTCCTTTACTGCAAAGCAAAGAGTCAGTTTCTAATAGCTGTTCTATTATATCAGCAGTCAAACCCGATGCACTAATCACTCCTACGACTCCATGATATCATTCTATCATAGGTACCATAGGCCATCATAGGCTGGTACAACCTTAGAAAAAATCTCATATATATTCTAACCTCTCATGATCACTCCCACCTTCCCGTCCAACCTTCTCTCAAAACAAACAAAATGCACACTAAACCTGGGAAGAAACTCAAAAGTTATAGTCCAATAAAAGTATTTGTGTGTGTGTATACACATACACATACACATACACATACACATACACATACATATACATATACACAGCTGGCATTATGGCAATGCAGCTTGGTATTTTTACAGGATACAAATTTGACTGAACCAAGAAATACTTTCTAAAAATTTATGTGGCAATAAGAACAGGCTACAGTAATAACTATCTTAATCTACGTGAAGGGAAAAAAAATCTATGCCATTTCAAACAGCCTATTCAGGTCATTACCACTAGTTAATGCAGAGAGATGTAAGAGAAATAAAAGATGTATAGTTCATGGCCACTGTAATATTTTGATCACAACATCGAGTTCCCATTTCCTTCAGCAGATAACACTTAAATATTTAACCATGCCAACAAGATGAAAGACAAAGAAAAGGGAAATCTCAACAACACAAATCTATACTCCCTTCTCACTTAAGTTTCGGCATGCATAATACATTCGTGATTAAGGTTCTTTAAAATCTACTTTTAAAATAACTCCCCTAATGTTTCCTAATGACACACTCAATTTCCTATGCTGAAGTATACAAACATTTTTAGAAGACTGAAGAAAAGGGGATGGGAGACAGTCTTCTAGTAAAGGACAATTTCATCACATTCTTCCTCTAAATGTCCTCACCAACCCACTATACCATTCTTAGTAGAACGAAAAGAAAAATTAAACCTACCACTGGAAGTGTTAAATAGTAACATGTAAATAACTACCCTACTTTAGAAATGCCACAGAGATACAAACCAACAAATGACTCTGTAAATATCCAGGGAAAAACCATCATTAGCACTGTCAGTCTTTGTGAATATGAAGTAAGCCTGG